GAAAACATACAAGGATGATGAGACCGTTGATCAGAACCAAGTTGAACAAATTCTCTCTTGCTTTTCGATTCTTTTGTGTACGTGGATAATGATTGTTCCTCTCTCAAAATCTCCGCACCCTAAAATGACCCCTCTCTCAACTATGAAGCCTAGGGCAACCATTGGCCAAAAATGGGCTCTCAACTATTTTTCGGCTAATTTGACTCGTTGGGCCTCCACACATAGAAGGAACCCAAACCAACCACTATGCAAAACCAAGAAAAAAATAGCCAATTAGATTCATGTGCATATAACACATTTGGTGCATCTAACAGTTGGTATCCTCTAAATCTCGGGTACTTTTCAAAGAATCTCACACTTCCGGTGAACGGATAAAAAAGAAGCTTGTATTCTAGATAGATTGTAGCTAGATTGCTAATCATACATTACAAGTAAAGAGGGAAAAAAAAACCCTAGATCAAATAGCCAACTAGATCTATGTATAGACCAAACATGTGATGCACATAACCTGGTATCTTGAAACTCTTTACTATTTTCCGATGAATCGAAATGCTCCGCTGAAAATGATTGAGATGACTCTGGTAACAATGATAGGTTCTAGGTGAATATTCATACAAGAATAGAATATGGTGGCAATACAAACCCTAAATCAAATCAAGTTATCCCGGCAGTTAGCCCAAGCCCAATTCAACCCGGGCTTCGATAAATGAAAAATGGTCAAGCGTTAAGCCAAACTACTTATCAGTTACTTTGACCAAGCCCATAAACTAAATAATTTTGGGCAAGTACCAGTTCCAATCCCAAGTTGGCTTGTGCTCTATAATTTTGTATGAAAGAAAATATACTCTCCTATCAGCTAAAATTAAGTCACTATTATTTTTTTAATAGTCCGTTAAATTTATACATTTTCCACTTCTAGCTAGTAAACAATTTTATTCACTCACAATTTTATTATCAAGACTTTAACAAATAATAACTAATTTTCCACTACATTGTGCTACTTACGTCATCACTTTTTTACCAATTCTTAATAAATTTCCCATAATACTCCTAATTTATATATTGACAAGTCCACCTTAATATTCAAATATTATTATTTTGTAATCTCCGTATCCAAGAAAAATTAGATAAGTTTTCCACAGAGAGTAATATTTAAACATATTAGACCAATTTTTGTTGAAATTATCCTAGGCTGGACCCGGGTGGTTTTAAATAAATAGGCTCGAGTGGGGCCTATAATAATTTTCGACTGTCAATCTCGTAGTAACACCATTAATAGCAAATAATTCTTACACATTTTTTAATTTACACCCTTAAACATTACCCTTACCTACAAAAATGACACAACTACTTCTACACTCACTTTATTAAATTTTTTTTCAATTCATTAGCTCATTAATACACTTTCCAAAATACTCATACTTTATGTCACAATGAACTAATATGATATTATATTTATTAAAACTTTTGCCCAATCCAAGTAGGCATAAATTTAATAGACGGAAAGAGTAATTTATTGTCACTTTTCATAGAAATGTGGAAAGGTACATATACACATTTCGCATACCTCTAGAAAGTACTTTTTGATGAAGAATTATGCATCTAAATCAATTCTTTGCAATATGGTGCATGCCATTTCTACTTTTTTTATTAATAACTTTACGTTTTTATATGGAGGCAAGTTTGGAACTAGCAAAATTATGTAAAATCATGAATTGAGGAATAGGCCAATTTACGTAGGAAGAGTAAGGAGTAAATTAAAACATAAGTGATAAACAATAAATGTAAAGAGACTAGAGCAGGAAAAAAAAATGCAAGACAACCGAAATGGTCTCACTTTGCATCATTTAAAAATCTGCCAAAAGTGTAATGCCAATAAGCAACAATGTTCTCATCATCCAAGAAAGCACTTCCTTCCCAAGAAAACCACATTTTTTTTTAAGAATCATTAACTACATTTGGCGTATTACAATTTCTTTGATCTCTTGAAAACCAATAGAATGTTAGAAACCATATGTCTTCCATGAGTCAATTTACATTATCAGGCTTCTAGATGTGACATTGGATTTTATGCAAGGGCCAAACATTAAACACACTTTTTCCTTTTAAATTATGAAACCACGACTAACAATTAACCAAATAAAATTCTATTAGTGGCACTTAAATTGACCTCAAATATAAAAATGAAAGCGTATTTGCCATTAGCATGCCTAGTCTAAGGACGAAATATGTGCTTTAGAATTTGTACATCCATTCAAAAATTTTATAAATATGTCAATACCTCTAATCACCAAACAAGATATGCAAAAAAAAAACAACATAATAAGAAATACATCTAATAACTAGTTAGATCTATGTAAAAAGCAAACATGTGATTCACATAGCACCGGGTATTTAGAAAATATTGGCTCTTTTTCAAAGAATGACACACCACCAATGAAAGAGTCCTAATGAATCCAATAACAATTGTAGAGTATAGATCACTAATCATACAAATGAGAAAAAGAAAATGGAAATGCAAACCTTACATAAAAATACCCAATTAGATATATGTACATATATCAAACTTGTGTTACACATGGCAACAACTATTGTGAAAATCTTTGCTATATTTCAAGTTATCACACAAACGGATTCGGAAATAATGATAGAGATCGTTAATCATAAAAAATAATTAAAAAAAAATTACTATGAAAAACCAAGAAAAAAAATACCCAATTAGATCCATGTACATATAACACATCTGGTGCATCTAACAGTTGGTATCCTCGAAATCTTGGGTACTTTTCAAAGAATCTCACATTTCCGGTGAACAGATAAAAAAGAAGCTTGTATTCTAGATAGATTGTAGCTAGATTGCTAATCATACATTACAAGTAAAAGGAAAAAAAAACCTAGATCTAATAGCCAACTAGATCTATGTATAGACCAAACATGTGATGCACATAAACCTGGTATCTTGAAACTCTTTACTATTTTCTGATGAATCGCAATCCTCCGCTGAAAATGATCGAAATGGCTCTGGTAACAATGATAATTTCTAGATGAATATTCATACAAGAAGAGAATATGTTGGCAATACAAACCCTAAATCGAATCAAGTTATCCTGATAGTTAGCCCAAGCCCAATTCAGCCCGGGCTTCGATAAATGAAAAATGGTCCCCGGTTAAGCCAAACTACTTATAAGTTACTTTGACCAAACCTATAAACTAAATGATGTTGGGCAAGTACCGGTTCCAATCGCAAGTTTGGCCGTGTTGTATAATTTTGTATGAAAGAAAATAGACTTTCCCTGTCAACTAAAATTATGTCAGTATTATTTTTTAAGTAGTCCGTTAAATTTATACATTTTCCACTTCTAGCTAGTAAACAAAGGTGTGACTATATAGCATTTTCTTTCTATGGGTGTTTTAAATGTGTGACTATTTTCCCATATGTTTTTACTTATGCTCATGATAGACATATTATAATGTTTCTCAGGCAATAAATCAAATTTTCCATTACTACTTTTCTCCAATTTATGTATAGTTTATCGTGCGCTATTCGTTCATTATGTAACTTACAGTTTGTTGTTGGTTGATCATGTTGATTTTGTTGACCTACAAAATATTCTTGAGTACAAATGGCACTCTAAATATTGTGAAAATAGTTTTGGATAGAAAAATTATAGGGTGAGTCGTGTCTGTACAGATGGTGACTATGATATATTGCCACCGTTCATAAAGATGGACAAACATTAGAGAGCAGTAGGAGCAAGGAAGTGTGTGAGGATGACCTAACACTATCTGGTGTTTGGTCAAACTAATTTATAAGTAAGTTGGGCCAACCCAGAACCATTTCTCTTTTATCCACGCCTGGGAAGAATTAGGTTTGCGCTAATCCACCTTGACAACTTGGTTTAATCTAGATTTTACATGTCATTTTCTTTTTCTCCGATTGTATGATTTGTGATCTAAAATCTATGGCTTTTACTAGAACGATCTCGATTATTTCACTGGAGGAGTGAGATTCTTCAAAAACAAAAATGAGTTCCAAGAGATCAAATTCTATGTGCATCACATGTTTTTCTCCATGCATAGATCTAGTAGAGTAACTGATCTAGCATTTTTTAATTCGTTTGTCTTTACTTTTCTTGTGGATTTCAGATGCAATTTACAATCTATATCTATATTACAAGATTTATTTTGATTATTTCCCTGAAGTGTGAGATTGTTTTCATTTGAATGCCATAGTATTTGACTCTTATGCATCTGTGGTGGGGATCTATTATCTTTCAAAAGTAGTAAGCCAGGGTTTCACAATAAATGGACTATATATAGTTTTCTTTCTATATGTGCTTAAAATTTGTGATTATTTGCAAGTATTCTTATATTTATCCTCATGGTAGACATATCATAATGCTTCTCATGCAATAAATCAAAGTACTATTTTTTCCCTAGTTTATAAATAGCTTATCGTGAGCTATTCGTTTGTTGTATAAGTTATTGTTTATTGTTCGTTAATCATGTATATTTTGTTGGCTTGCAGAGTATTCCTGAGGATAAATGACACTCTAGATATTGTGAAAATTGTTTTGGATAGAAAAATTATAGGGTGAGTTGTGTCTGACAAAGATATCATGGCACTAATCATAAAGATGAAAAAACATTGCAGAGCAGTAGTAGCTAGGAAGTGTGAGAGGATGGGTTTTTTTCATGTGTTTAAATAATACATTTTTTATATTTTTGTTTCAAAAAAGATTATAAGACCCAGCCTAACCTGGGATTGGAATTTTTATTGGCCCAACATTATCTGGTTTATAGACTTGGTCAAAGTAATTTATAAGTATGTTGGCCCAACCTATGACCGTTTCTCTTTTATGCAAGCCCGAGAAGAATTGGATTCGGGCTAACCCACCTGGGCAACTTGATTTAATCTAGATTTTTTTTTCATTTTTTTTTCTCTTATGGTATGTTTTGTGATCTACAATCTATAGTTTTTAATAGAATGATCTCAATTCTTACACCGGATGAGTGCGATTCTTCGAATAACAACAACGAGTTTCAAGAGAAAAAGTTTGTGTATCACATATTTTCTCCATACATAGATCTGGTTGAGTAATTGATCTAGGTTTTTTTGTAGTCAAACGCCTTTAATTATCTTGTATAATTTGTGATCTACAATCTATCTATATTATGAGATTCATTTTAATTTTTTTCCTGGATTGTCAGATTCTTTTAAAATGAATGTGATACTATTATCCTACAAAAGTTTTCCGCGCGGGTTTCACAATATATGGAGTAGATAGCATTTTCTTTTTATGGGTGCTTAAAATGTGTGATTAATTGCAAGTATGTTTATACTTATGCTCATCATAGACATATTTTAAATACAGCTTATTGTTCGTTCTTTTCATTATATGACATACGTTAGTTAATCATGTAGATTGTATTGGCCTACCGAGTATTCCTGAGGATAACTGGCATTGTAGATATTGTGAAAATAGTTTTGGAATGCAAAAAGATGGGGTGAATCTTGTCTGTACAGTTCTTGTTCAAAGACATCTTGCTACCAATCATAAAGAAGGAAAAATACTGGAGAGCAGTAGTAGCAAGGAAGTGTGTGAGGATGAGCTTTATTCATGTGCCACTTGCAGGTTGTGTGTGTATATGCTTTTCCTTTTCATTTGTTTGTATGCGTGTTGATATCAATGAAACTAAAACAACTTGTTGTTCAAGTGATAAAATTATAATGTACGAGCATGGTTTCTGCCAGGGGCATGATTTCGTAAGCAAAGGATTCACAGACCTGACAGTTATTATTTGCAAGCAGGTAAAAAAAGTATTCAGGATTTTCTTTCTGGTTCTCTGTCAAACATCAAAATAACCATGAGTCTGCCATGTGCAGTGTGAGAAAGAATTCCATGTCGGTTGTTTTGAGAAAGGAAAGGAATGATGATCTTAAGGTCCTCAACTAAAAAAGCCTGTCTTATGAATTTCATTTGTTTGAGCCAATTTGTCTATTTATGGTAACAAACAAACTGCAGGAATTTCTGGAAGACAAATGGTTCTATTGTAAGAGCTATAGTGGCTTCACTCAACTCTTGAGAAGTTAGCTAGGGACGAGCTGGAATGCTTCTTGCTGCCAGTTTAGACCTTCTCAGGAGGAAATCAGAACGGAAAAGAAAGGTGGCTGTAAAATGGAGGCTTCTTACCGCCAACAATTGTTCTGAAAAAGAGAGAGAACCGCTTTCCATTGTTGTAACGCTACTATATGTGAGTACAGTTGTCGATGGTGATGATTTTGTTCGATACCTGTGCAGCTGTGCTAAATTTTGATGGAAAGCTACAGTACTTTCCATCTTCTATATTTTCTTCAGGAGCAATTCGGTCCTATCAAATTTATTGGCAACAACACTGATCTTGTTCCAGAAATGGTTTACGGGTAATTAGTGCTGTTATATGATGTTAAATGACTTCTCACTTAAATGCTTAAATTTTTCGGGATACACATAATTTATTTATTTATATACGAAGGAGTAACCAACAAGTGGTACTCTCTTCTTCCATCTTCATTGATTTGAATCTTGTTTTATTTGGTGTTGGCAATGGCAGGAGGAGTGCCGATCACCTTGATTTCTTCAGGATGCATTGCATCGTATTAACAGTCAGGTAAAAGAAGATACTCTGAAATATTATTGCATTTATTTTTTTTTATAAAACTTAATGTATTTTTTTTATGACTTTACAGATCAAAGATTGTTTGCCGTAGAATAATTCGGATATTTGGAGAGGACATTGCAGAACTTCTGCTGATTGCAACCAATGAAAGGGAGCAGAAAAGGTGTAATTTTGATATTCAGAAGCTAAGAGGATTGATTATCAGTTTCCTTGGTATTTAATTAACAAACCATTGTTTTGTTGCAGGGATACTGCTCGCTGTGAAAAAAATTATTCTTCCTGTTATTAGTGTGCTAAATCCATGTAGATGTATAGATATGAATTCAAAGTAGTTACTAGGTAACATGTATGGATCGTTCCAGCCTCTGCTGCCATGATCTATGTTTTTCTATTTTACTTGAGCAGTTGTTGTTTCGTAGTCAGAGAAATACCTGAATAACTATCAAAAGTTGTTGTTTGAAAGGACTACAGTACTGCACAAATCAATTACCCGATCCTAAAGAAGCTCAGAGCCCAGTTATGTTGGGAAAATTGTGTAAAGTAATTTGATAATATTAAAGATATAGAAGCACAGCGAAGAGGAAGAACCGGAACTGATCCGTATGATTATTCTATGTGTCTAAATTACACATTAAGGTAATTAGGCCAAATTGATAATTATGATCTAATTAACCCTTTTGGTGAAAAATAGAGACAGAACAGGTGCATATAATAGCCATCATACTGTGCCTAAAATGAATATGCAATTGATTACGTGTTCGATTGTGTGCTGTAGATGTGAATTGTGATTGCGTGTCTTATGGTATGACTATATGTTTGATCAAGTGAGATACATGATGTGATGTGCTCATGTGTTTATGTGTTTTGTGTGATTATTGTGCCATTTGATTGCCGTTTAGCCGGGAGTGGGATATCAATGTAACATTGATTATCGTTTAGCCGGGAGTGGGCTATCGACGTGGCATTGATTATCGTTTAGCGGAGAGTGGACTATCAATGTAACATTTATTATCGTTTAGGTGGGAGTGGACTATCGATGTGGCATTGATTATCGTTTAGCCAGGACTGGACTATCGATTTAACATTGATTATGTTATAGCCGAGATTTAGCTATCATATTGAGATTGATTATACTATATTTGTAAATTGCTATGTGTTTAGGATGAATGGTTTTGGGTTGAGGTTGGTTGTGTTTTCATTGTATGTGTAAAATATATATTAATAAATAAAAGTTCGATTTCTCTAGTTTTAAACCGAATCGATTTGTTTGTTCTTGAAAAACTTTGGTTCGATTTCAATTTTTTATAAACAGATCAAAATTGAAAGTTCACACACCCCTAGTAAGTGAACAAGCTGTGATTTTTCGTAGTATAATTAATTCCTGTTCAAAACAAGAAGAAATGCATAAACCTATTGGCCACCAAATTCCTTTGAAATTTCTTCAGCCACAAAGACTAATTAAAAAAAGAGAGGCTGAAAATTAAAATTTAGCAGAACCCATAGAACCAAACTTTTTAACTCAAATTAACGGGGTGTGCCAGGCCCATGCTGTAGTGCAAAGCCTGGGCGACACACAGAGGCCAAGACAGCAAGCTGCCTACATAGGCCTTTCCCCTAAAAAAATTAATTTAATATCAAGTGAGCCGATGGCCCACGTATCAGATATTAAACTGATAAGAACAGATACTACACTTGATCTTAGCCAAAAGGCCGAGAAAGGTATGAGTTCTTGGTTGAATGGGCTGCCCTATTTATAGGAACACAGCACTTGTGCTCTGCCTTATTACAGCCGATGTGGGATATATAAAGCAATGTAATGTCATTTTTATATATAGTTTCCTATTTTAAATGTTGTAAACCTGCACCTGCTATTTAAAGCTAGAAATTTATGTCCTTAAGAATGTTATTTGGGAGTTTTGTGCCACACTTGAACCAAATGTTAGAATAAACAAAAGTCTATCAAATCTGTTGTGAATTTTATGCCTGTTTTGTTATTTCAGCACACAATGTAGGATTTTTTTTTTCTTATATAAAGTGGAAATCCGCAGTAGCTATCCGAAGGTGCACACAGGGTAAACCTCCGGTCAAATCTAATACTCTGCAAACTAGGCCCGACAATGTGATTTTCATATAAGAATTCCTTTAACATTTCTATCATGAGAATACGTCATATTGCAAGAAATTGAAAAAAAATAACATATCTATCATGAGCATAAGCATAAGCAAACCAGAAAGTAATTTTCAATATCCTTAAAACATGTTGATATATAAAAAATTGTTCAACTTTAAAAACAATATGACTTATTATAAACTAATATATATATATATGAACAACACTGATAATAAAGTTAAATAGTAAAAAAAATATTATTTCTAGCTATAAAATAATATACTTAGAAATACAAAAATGGAAACTTCTAAAAAGAAAAAATTATCCAACTTAAAACAACAACATTATACTGATTATAAAATAATATTGTTGAGCGAGAAAAGAAAAAACCAATATGTAGGGTTTTCGAGAATTCAATAGTAGTAGGACCTAAAGATGGGTCCAAATATAAGTCCAAGCATGTTAAGAAATGGGTTTCCGCGAGAGAAATCTATGATTAAGAGGTCAGACAAGGAGAAGGCGGACGAAGAAGGAAAAACAATATGCACTCAGGTCGGTGGCATATAGGTCGGGCAAAAGGGAATCGAACAAAAAATGAGACGGCCGATACAGAAGTCGGACAGAGTGTAAGACGGGCGAAAAGAGACGCAACAGTGGATATGCAGGTCCGGCGAGAAGCAGTTTTAAGGTGGTTAGAAGAAGTTATGACTGGTGAGCGGATTTGGAGGCACGACCTAGACGTTGCGGTTGGTATGGGTTTTAAATAGGTCCTTTCACGACTTTGAGAAACCATCTTCAATCGACATCAAATTCAGTGAATTGTTTTTTGGATCACCATTTACTTTTTCAGTCAGTAGTATATTTTCCTAATTCTAGGGATTCTTAAATCTCAGTCATTTTATTTTATCGAAGATAATTTTTATTTTCGGATTTTTACTTTTTATTGTTGAAAATCGGCATAACAAATATATATATCATATGTTTCAAAGAGTAGTACACATCCAACAATCAACTTGTACATGTCTAAACCTTTTACAGTAATATCATTGCACATGATTTTTATCATCTTATGAATTATTATCATGTCAATTACATTGAAGTGTGCATCCTTGTCCTATCCCATGACTATTCCTCCCCTAGTATTGACCTCTACCACGTCCACTAATGCCTGCATTTTACGACTTATGTTTCTACTGCGATAAATCACCTTTAACATAAAAACCTTTTTCTTCATGTTTTTCTTTTGATATTCTCAGCTTTGCTTCATGGGATTGTAGTGAATCTATCAATTCATCAAGGGAATATATGTCTAAATCCTTTGACTCTTCAATAGCAACAACCACATGATCAAACTTGGAAATCAAACTCTTAAGGATTTTTACATATATCAACAACTGGGTAGCGCTTCAAGACAAGCATGATAATGTTTGCTCCAATGCTCTGTTGGTGGAGAGCTATAATAAAATTAAAAAAATAAATAAAGTTCACCACGAGGGTTTCACTTAGGTAGAAAAGACTGTCAGACACCAAGTATTTAGAGTATATATAACATTTTTTAAGGATATTGAAAATAAGCAATTACTTTCTCGTTTGCTTATGCTTATGCTCATGATAGATATGCTATTTTCAATTTCTTGCAATATGATGTATTCTCATGATAGAAATGTTAAGGAATTCTTATATGAAAAGCACCCAAAGTAATTATGAAAGTCCTACATTATGTGCTGAAATAACATAGCAACATAAAATTCACAACAGATTTAGTAGGACTTTTGTTTATTCTGTAATTTGGTTCAAGTGTGTCACAAAACTCCCCAATAACATGCATAACGACATCTCTAGCATTAAATAACTGGTGCAGGTTTACACTATTTAAAATAGGAAACTATTTATAGAAATTACATTATATTGCTTCATATATCTCACATTGGCTGTAATGTAATAAGGCAGAGCACAAGTGCTGTGCTCCTATCAATGGGGCAGCCTATTCTACGAAGAACTCATACCTTTCTCGGCCTTTTGGCTAAGATCAAGTGTAGTATCTGTTCTTATCAGTTTAATATCTGGTACGTGGGCCATCGGCTCACTCGATATTAAATTAATTTTTTTAGGGGAAAGGCTATGTAGGCAGCTTGCTGTCTTGGCCTTTGTGTGTCTCCCAGGCTTTGCACTACAGCATGGGCCAAGCACACCCCATTAATTCGAGTTAAGAAGTTTTGTGCCCCATAGGTTACAGCATTTCTTCTTGTATTGTGCAGGAATTACTATGGAAAATCTCAGCTTGTTCAGTTAAGTAGGTGTACAACCTCGCCCACAGCCTTTTATCCAATTTTCCTATCATCTCGGCGACGAAAATCATTGTCTGTACACTAAACTGCACAATAGCGTGGATGTTAAAATGAGAAGAAATAAGTGTATAATGCTTTTTTAATTTTACATTTGTATATCAAAGGAAATGTACGTTGAGCAACTCAAAGACAAGCAACTTGCTATTTCACCAAGTTTTTAGTAACATATTTTGTGAGGTAATTAAAAATATGCTCTATAGAGTTTTTACAAGTTGTTGAGGTGTTTGACATTCAAGTGAGTTTTTGAATGTTATCCAACCTTATGAAAGGTCCAACAAAAATTTATGAGTTCATTCACTTGTTGACTTAGAATGCATGTGTGTTGATGTTGCTTCTGTGTTCGAACACCAAATTGCTTGTGTTTTGTGCAGTTGCTGTTGGATAATCGGTTATTTAATAGATGAAATTTAATGGTAGAAAATTGAAGGTAGAAAATTAAATTCGAAATCTACACAACCGATTAATCCGCGAGTGAAAATGGACGGGTCGGTGAACCAAATTAATGATAAAATAAATAAATATTATATATTTATTGGATATGGGGCATTGTTAATATTTAAGAAAAACCAAATTTTGCAGAAACCAAATTTTGCAGTGCTAAATTAAACTTGGTATATGGCCTAAGTCGCAAATTATCTGGATAAAATCTATCGTTTCAATCGGATGATTTGAAATTAGATTAAGTTAGGGTCATCTCAGACTAAAGGTTTGAAATTAGAATCAATTACGTAATTAAAGTTGTAATTATGATTGTAATTGATCCCCTACTTTTTGGCCGAGTGGAGACGCCCTCCCTTTCATTCTAAAATACAACACAACAACATCCTCTCTTCCTCTTCTCCTCTCTTCTAACTTTCCGACAACCTCCCAGTTCAGTTCCTCATTCGTTTTGTTCGCCGGAGCTCCGACGACCTGAGGTGTCACTGTCATCGGAGACAAAGTTTTGTCTTTGGATTAGAACACCGCCCACCGTAGATACTACGGGACGTATCTAATTTCCGGAAAGAGAATTCATCCTTGACGGTTTTATGGTACATTTATTTCTCGCAATACCCTTTGAACA